CCCTACCCTATCCTATCATATGCTATCCAAACCTATGCTCCTCGTTTTACTCTTCCTTAACGTCTCCCATCTCCCATCCTTCCTGTTCTTCTATTGCCCTTCCTTTCTGCTACTGCATTGCATTCCCTCTTCTCCTCTCTTTCACATTTGCCTTTTTTGACATTGTTTTGCTTTTCATTACAAAGCAGGAACTGGCGACGATCAAGGTGGAAAAACTTCCCGTGAAGATTATGATTCTGAACAATCAGTACCTTGGCATGGTCAGGCAATGGGAGGATCGATTCTACAAGGTGCCGTTTCTACTTCTTCAATGCCGTTCCTCCCTACAACCTACCGTTATGCTACAAAGTTTCTTCCTCTCCCCCCCCAACACACACCCCTCCTTTTTCCATTATGTGTTCTCCAAGTACGAAGGTGAACGGTGGTGACCTGTGCACCATGGCAAGTCAAGTCAAAGTCATCAGTTATCTGCCGCTCAATTTCGAGCATCGATTTCGATCATCATATTACCAAAAAGGCTTATTATATGGCTATTATCATATTATGCCAACGCTGCAATAGTCGTAACCTCTGCGTCAAGGAAGTGATTGTGCACACAAACATGCCACACTCAACAGTCTCCTTATAAAATGAATGATTGTTTCCACGTGAGACATATAGCATAACATGTCACACTCAATAGTCTCCTGATCAAGTGAATACTAGTAGTTCTAGTGTATATTACTCCTTATTGAATGAATAAGAGATGTCTTACCTTTATCGAATGAATAGGAGATCACAACTCTCCTTGTCCAAGGAATATAAGAGAGAGAGAGAGAGAGAGGTATTAAATGGTGATTTAAAAAGATCAGAGAAGGCTGACCGTGGTGTCATTGTCGGAATGGATCGTTTCAGGGTAATCATGCACATACCTATTTGGGGGAGGATTTTGATTCTGAATCAGGTATCTTCCCAGATTTCCGCAAGTTTGCAGAAGGCTGCAAGGTAATTTCTTTGGCCTACTGGAGGGTCTGAGTAGGGTCTGTCATTTGGATCATCTGTCAAAATGTTGCTAAGGTACAGAGAAGGTTAACCCTGGCCGCTGCAGAAGAGAGCGGGAGGAAAAATCAAATGAAAAGAAAGAAGGGGAGGAAAAATCAAATGAAAGGAAAAAGCCCTTCTATACTAATCTGTAGGGCCCAGATCAACAGCCTGCCACTTTTCCCTCTCACCTCTTGTCTCACCAATGTCTTTGAAAATCCAATAAGCCTTGCAGTCTCGTTTCCCTTTCTCCTTCCTCTTTTTCTCCTCCCTTCTCCCCTCCTCCCTCGTTCCGTCCTCCCTTGTTCCTTCCTCCCTTGTTCCCTCCTCCCTCTTTCCCTCCTCCCTCATTCCGTCCTCCCTCGTTCCGTCCTCCCTTGTTCCCTCCTCCCTCCTTCTGTTCTCCCTCGTCCCTCCTCTCCTCCCTCTTTCTCTCCTTCTCATCACAGCCTGTTGGGATTGGCAGACAAACTGCGCATGACTGCAAGTACTAACAATTGGGGAAAAAAAAAACGACTGGGGATACTATTGAGAGCCGCAACGTATTAAAAAAAAAAAAAAAAGAGCTGCAAGTACTAGCCTGACATATGAGCTATTGGCTGTGGGATTGCCTCCTTGTCGCTTTGCTAGTTTGCCTGTTCGTGGGAACAAACTTACCCAACTGGGACTTTGTCATTGTTGCCAACTTCTTACTTCTTGTGTTTGAGTATAATGATTTAATCGGCTCTGCTTAATTCCATTCGGGTTGTGTTTGGACACAGCGCCACATCCTTCGTCTCCATCTGCATAATACTTCAACCACCTGAACATAATTCCTCTCTCTCTCTCTCTCTCTCTCTCTCTCTCTCTCTCTCTCTCTCTCTCTCTCTCTTTCTCTCTCTCTCTCTCTCACACACACACACACACAGACACACACACACACACACACACACACAGACACACACACACACACACACACACACACACACACACACACACACACACACACACATATTCCTGGCTGAGAGGGTGTGTAGAGTGGGTTTTATGGCTGTGGCAGATTCCATTCTCAGACTTACTGCCATTCTTGTCAGTGGTGTGGACCGACAGTCAGCTAGGTTTGCAACATCGGTGTGAGTTAAGTCAGCCAGTACCTTTCCCGGCTTATCGGCTGCGGGCCCTGCACGCTGAGTTTTGGCGGCGCATCTGGCTGCCGCCGGAGGCCGAGTGCGGCCTCCGTGTTAATCGCCGTGTCCCGGCAAAATGCCTGGGAAAGGTACACTGGTGGTTTAAGTCAGCCAATTTCCTCAGGGGTATTGCTAACTCTGGGCGATGTGGTGAGTGCTTATCGATCAGTCAAATGCATCCTGGGCAGCCTGTCTGTTACATGCTGCGCTTGCACACGCGGGCCATTTTCCAGGCCCTGCGTCTGTCAGGCCAAAAGCCTGACTTTCAGGCCGAAAGCCTGAAATCCAGGGCTTACAGGCCCCACGTCGGTTCAGCCCGAAAGCCTGAATTCCAGGGCCACAGCCCCTATGTCGTTTCAGACTAAAAATGGCAACAGCCTTTTTAGCCTGAAACGAAGGGCCATTTTCGGTCGTTCATCAGAACGACCGGCCCTGAAACTCAGGCACCAAACCAGGGTTTCGGAACAGGCTATTCTTAGCCTGTTCCCCACGCCAGCCTCAGCAGGCTGCTGCACGCCAGCCCCTGGCACACTTCGGCATTGGCAAGAGCTGCCTCCTCGGCCTGGCTCGCCCTTCAGCAGTCAGGAGGCAGGCCGAGGTAGTACATAGGGACTTCCCATGCACTTCACGGGAAGGCAGAGAGGCAGTTGTAGTCTTCAGGATTCGGGAGCAGCACTCTGGAGGGAGCGCGGCAGAGTAGTAGTAGCGTTAGCTTGTAGTCTTCAGCACTGGGCGCAGTAGGTAGCTGTAGTCTCCAGCGCTGGGCGCAGTAGGTAGCTGTAGTCTCCAGCGCTGGGCGCCATAGCTAGATAGTACTAGAGAGAGAGAGAGATTGGGCGGAGGCCAGAGGCACTTACCTGCAGCGCCGTTGCTCCAGCTTCGTCTTCAAGGTACCTGCAGCACAGCGCCAATACCACAGGTCAGTATCTGGCTCGTAACAGTGAGAGAGAGTTCTTCTTCTTCCTCTTCTCAGTCCACCATCTCCTTCTCCCCCTCTCAACATCTGACTTCACTGCATCTGCAGACTACGAGAGAAGAGAGACAGAGCTTGGTGACATCGGATCCAGGCTCGACTTTTGGGACTTCAGACATGGCGACGAGGGATTATTTGGGATTGGTGACAAAGACTTGGTATTGACGACATTCCCATCTCTCTCCCTCCTTTCGTCGGATTCCTTCCTCTTCGTCTGTGTATGTCTGGACCTGGCGCTTTCTTCCTGTGTACAGCGCCAGGCTCCTTCACACCTGGTGAGGGATACGATGTATGTTTGGTYTGAGTTCAAACATTGATTGGGCTAGTTATTAGCATTCTAGCATTCTGCTTCGCTACTTTGTACTACGTGAATGAGGTCAGTCCCGGTCAGGTCAGTCTTTGTTGAAACGGTATTCACCAATTCGTGGTAGCTGAGGTAGATCCCAGGGCTCGATCCCTAGTTTCCCAACTTACCTGTGTACAATACCAGCGT